GGATTACCTGAATGTTCCTTTTCTTCTCTGGCGTAGAGAGTCCAGATAGGTTGGGTATTGTCAGATCCTGCACTGGTGTACTGAGTCTGTGTTAAAACTGGAGCTCCGCCTTGCGCCGTGCCCCAGCTTTCAACAAAGCACTTAGCAGACTGGATGTGATTCTGGAGTTAAGAGATAAAAAGAACACACATTATTGCTCCCCACAACCCGCACCCAGACCAGATGAACCAGGGTGGGGCTGGACTCTCTATGCCACAGAAGAAAAGGAACATTCAGGTAACCCAATTTTCATTATCCTATCTGTGGCTACGAGAGTCCAAATAGATTGGGACATACCAAAGCCGGCCTGTCCCAGGGAGGGCAAGAGTCTAGTCCTACTCACATTAGCGCTTGTGCTTCTTCTGCCAAAAGCAGCATCAGCTGATGCAAAGGCATCTAGGCAGTAATGCCAAATGAAAGGAGACTGTGAAAACTGTGGCCGTTCTGCAGATTTCCTCAATGGGTGCATGAGTAGCCCATGCCGCCGTAGTTGCTGCACTTCTGGTTGAGTGAGCCATCACTTCACGAGGCTCCGGAAGAGCCCTGCTCAGATAAGCCTTGGCAATGTAGGCCCGAATCCATCTGCCCACAGTCTTTGGAGACACCTTTAGCCTTAACCTGCTGGGTTGTAAGGACACAAACAGTGCCTCCAACTTGCGGATAGGATGTGTCCACCAGATGTAAATCCTTAAGGCTCTGTGTACATCCAGAGTATGCTACACCCTCTCCAAATTATAGGAAGGATTTGGACAAAAATTAGGGAGAATGAAGCTCCTGAGCCCTGTGGAATCTAGAATTAATTTTGGGGATGAAAGTTGGGTCTAACTGTAACACTACTCTATCAGGATGGAAAATACACAAATCCTCCCTAACTGAAAGGGCAGCAATCTCTGATATCCTCCTAGCCGATGTGATGCTACAAGAAAAGCAACCTTGAGTGATAGATGGTGTAAATTAATGGATCTAAGTGGTTCAAATGGCTCAGTCATTAACGCCTTAAGAACTTTGGGGAGATCCCAAGCAGGGAATCTATGAACCACCAGAGGACTAAGGTTGGTGGCCCCTTTCAGAAACCTCCAAATGGTTTGGTTTTGAGACAGGGAACCCTTCCTGTGTAAGAACAATACTGAAGAAAGGGCGGTCACCTGTCTGCATAATGTGTTAGCTGAGAGCCCTTTGTCAAGACCTTCTTGTAAAAAATCCAGAATATTGGCCACAGAGGCCAAAGTGGGGGAGATGTTATTCTTGATACACCACTGGCAGAAAACCTTCTCCACCAGGTGGGGATCCAAGACCTCCGCAAACAATTTATCCCCTTTGATGGGGGACGATGCCACTTTCCACTTCCATCGCCTGTCAGCTTATCAGTTCTTAAGCCAGATCATTCTGCAGACTGCTATCGAAGTAGCGATGGCCTTAGAGGCAAACCTGGCACTGTTTAGGGTTGCATCCGCAGTGAATTCAGCCACAGCCATCAGTTTGTAAATGTCTTGGTGTACTCTGACATCTGATGCTGGTACCCTCAACTGGTGCAGCCACCTTAAGACCTCATAAAGACTTCACTTCCCAGGCAGCCGCCAGGTGGGTACGTTGGAAGAATTGCTCGATCCTCTTGTCCTCTGCCTTCAATGCCTCTTCTGGATCAGCAGGGTTTGAAGAGGAAGAAAGCATCCACTGGGGCATCCACAGATGGTACCTGCAAAGAACTGGTGAGTTCAGGCCCATAGTAAAGAAACGGCGTTTGTTGGCCAATAGCATGGCAGATTCCATCTGTTTCTTGATTACATTCAAGAATAATCTGGGAACTGGAACCATTTCGGGCCAAACTGTAGGTTCATCAAATAATTGGTCTTGGGGTGGGGTGGGGGGCGCGCACTGTCCCCTTCTACTTCTCTGACATCTGCTCCTGGTCCCAAGTGGGCTGTCTTCTTGGCCTTAAACAATAATGCCCTGAACTTTTGAACATCAAAGATACCTGTGAATGAAGGTCTTTCTGGGGCCATATCTTCATCAGCAGAGAAGTCTGACTCCCTCTTATCATATTCAGGTGTCTTATAGGTAATGCTATGTACGGAAGGGTCAGGAGAGTTCCTGTCCCTTAAGGATTCTCTGCTTCTCTCATGAAAGGACCCTTTTAGGTCTGAGTGTTCTGACACCACTGATTCAGGCCTCCTCGTTACCTGGAGAACTTCCACCATTCCCCTTCTTATGGCTTTGGAGCTGATAGCCTCCAGATGCGCAGGGAAGCTTCCTCATCCTCTTCAGATTTCGTAGGCCAGCTGCTGTAGGTGTAAAAGTCGCCTCAGCCATAGATCTAGCCCTCTTGGGAGGCGGAGGCAATGGTTCCTCCAGGCCTGCTGTTTGGGAATCACCTTCATCCTCTCCAGGTTCTTCTATAGGTATTGGATCACCAATAGCCGAAGAATTGTCAGGTGGCCAAACACGTGGGAGAGATACAGCAGAAGTAGGCCAGTCTCCAATTGCAATACCGGAGGTTGATCAGCAGAATCTGATTCCTCAGGGAGTGGTGATCTTCTGCTCCTCCGCCCAGCCACATGGTGCCGTTTTTCCATCTGTTTTCCAGGTGCCTTTTGCCTGTTTAAGGCCTCTTGCTCCTCTCTGGAAGGTCTTTGGGATTCAGGAGCTTTCTCTTCTGCCTGCCCCGGGATCGGCCTTTAGAAGTGGAGGGACTGTGTTCCCTTTCCTGATCCATATCTGCCATCCCACAAGGAGAGTAGGCTAAACAAAAGAAACAGCCAGAGGGAGGATGGATCCTGCTGGGGGAGGGATGAGGTGTTAAAAACACAATCTCCAATAAATCTTACTAGTAAAGCCCCATCCAGAATAAATTTTGGTCTTGTTACCTGTAAACCAGCAAAGCAAGCCTGTATAGGCCTATTGTTGGGCTGCAGCCACACCCTGCTGGTCACCACAATCATGGACCTGAGTACAGGTCTACTGGTGCCCACACGATCATCTCAGTTCTGTAGCTAGAATCACACCCTGGCAACGTGGTCAATCTGCGCCCTCAGCTGGGGTCAAACCTGTCCTTGCCACTCTTCAGTGCCAACTGCTACCACACGGCTGCACCCCCCCCCACTGGGATCAGGCCGATTGCCCAATCAAGTGGCTGCTTTGCGCTGCGGCAAAGCCTCCTGTTGAGCCGATTGCCCCCGGAGCCGCTGCTGCTACTCTTGAGTGCATTGCAGCCAGGCGATCTGGAAATGAAAGCGAAAATCGGGCTAGCCGCCTGTGCTGCTTCTGTGCTACTGTGCAAAACAGCTGGTGGCCCTTATAGGCCCGATCGCCTGGAGCCACTCCATGTGGTCGTGGCTCCGCGCGCTAGGGCAGTTGCCCTGAGGGTGATCGCCAAGCCTGGAGGCAAAGCCTCTCTCCTTGGCTGCTGAGAGGTCCAAAAGCCTCTGCTGCACTTTAAACCAAATTTTTTTTTTCTCTGTGGAAAAAAAAGGCCTCCACTTGCGATTCAAATGGAGCCTCAGCAACTCACATCCTGTCCTGGCTGGACTGAGTCAAAAACTGGGACGTGACCACAGCGCAAGGCACAGCTTCAGTTTTAACGCAGACTCAGTCCACCAGTGCAGGACCTGACAATACCCAATCTATCCAGACTCTAGTAGCCACAGATAGGAAAATCTCTACTCCCATCAAGCTGATTCGACACCTAATATTTGACAAAGGGCCTTTTTTTTTTTTAAACACACTGGCCGCTTGAGTTTGGAATAACAGTCTTCTGGAGTTTCATTTGCAGAAAGAACAAATTTCATGTTTACTTCATGTTTTGGATGTCTTTATAGGCCAGTTTTATTTTTTTTTTAACACCTCGAGTCAACCATAGAGACTCAGCGCGTTAATAAATAAAACTGGTAATTTTCCTTTTGCCATTGGGGGGAGCTAGTTGGAGGAAATTATCTTCTGGTTTACCTATTAGGGAAGTTTATTTTCCACTTTTAATGGTTTGTTTTGAGATGTTATGTTGGAATGTGGTGTCGCCCATATGTTCTGTGTCTTTTATGCTTTCTTTTATAGACAGATTGCCAAATGCAAAATAAGGCACAGCATGTGTGCGTTATAGTTACTTTGCTAGTCAGTCTTCAAGTTACCAAACACTAAACATGTTGCTTTATTCATCTCCTGAACTTTAAAGACAGGGCCAAATATATATAAAGTGTATTGTACATGAACATTAAAAAGATATAAATTGATAGCTGGAAAAAATGCATTCTGTTTGTAGTTGTTCATGAGCTGGACTGAAGTGAAACCATTACTAAATATTGCCTTTTTGATTGAGAGCTGGTGTTGAAAAATACATGCTTAATTATTGCTTTGTTTGCTGGTTTTTAATTAAATATGAAAACAATTGCTTTGCCCCTATTTTTTTTCCTAAGGCAATACATAATACTCAACATGGAATATCACCCAACTTATCTTTGTAGATATTGATGAAAAAAAGATTGAAAGTGGATTACTTTGACTTTTCATTGCTTCCAAGGGTACAACACAAACAAAAAAAATACAGGTTTTATTCTATACCAGGGCCGTGGGCCGGATGCGTCACACGCTGACCACACCCATGCCCGGTTTAGCAAAGGGGGGAAAAGTCCCAATATGTCATGTGATGCCGCTGTACGACTTGAGTTTGACACCCCAGGTCTACAGTATTAAAACATTGCATGCTTGGACTGTATTGATGGACTATTTTAGGTTAATTTGTTTTGAGTTCGAGGTTGTTGCACAACTCTAGGAATTGGTATGCTGTCCATAAAAAAAAAACAACCTGTGAATATAACTGCTAATGTCTATGGATACGACAATTATACTCTTACCATCAAGCAATTTAGAAGTCCTTAAAACACAAGGGGTAAAGCGGGAGAGCAAATATTGTGTTATGGATTTTTTGATCCTTCAAGCTGTTTTAAATAATCAACCAGCACAAATGATACCTGTGTTAAAAGTGAGTTTTAATACAGTAAAAAAGACCATTATATATATACACAAGTCCTTTTGGGGTTCTACATTAGCAATGAAATCCACAAAGGTAGTGCTCGCTCTCTTACTGAAAGAAGCCACTAGTATATAGTTTAAAGAAAAGTGCTTAGTCACAAGTCAATGAGGAGATCCTAGCTGCCCATCAAGTCATATTTACTCAGAACATGTTTTCAAAACAAAGTTTATACACTAAAGTTAATTGAAAACCGGTGGGGAATATTACAGTTATTATGCAACAAGTTATATGTTCTCTCATAGAAGCAGGAAGGGATCCTCTCCCCAATACCCCAAAGGTTATTTTTCTTTTTTAAGGAAACAAAATTGGATAGTGCCTAAACCAAATCTTAATTTACACAGCTAATGGTGATGTATTAGAACCTTAGTCTAACGGTGGCATGGTGAGAATGATGGCCAGAGATATGTCATTGCTCTTTTGTTGTTTAAGCCTTGCAGAAACTTAAGGCACCCACTTAATTCCTTAAACCACCCCCCATAACAAGGGGGGGGACACAAGGTTAGCATTTTTAAGGGATATACCAGAAAGATCTGCAAGGTTAAGGCACCCATTTCCCCACCCCCTTAAAACTATCCATTTACCACCTCAACAAAAAACCACCCAAATTAGGACCTTTACGTCTTCCTCCAAGTTGTTAGCAAAATAATGTTGGAAGATCCCACTGGCATTTCTTTGAGCATCTTAACTCTACTAGGGTAAGCGCAGGCAACTCTTTTTATTTTCTGTCCTGTGTCACCAACAGTATCTTCTGAGTAATGCAGGAACTCACCCAGTTAGCAATTAGCAGTTTTACTTCTACTGTGCCAGATCCCCTTTTGAGAGAGAAACGGCCTTTAAAAAAAGGGTGGAAGCCATTGCAACCTTATCCTATTAAATAGTTTCCTAAGCAATCCATAATTCTCTGCTTGTACCGGATTCCCTTTGTCATTTAGATCAAGGACGCAGACGTACAGTATTCTGATATCATTGTTTGTTCCACATAGTGAATATGACCTTGTAAACAAACCCACCAATTATTTTTTCATAGCTAGCAATAAGTCACGCTAATAACTTACAACTTTGTTCGGCTTTGATTTCCATGGCTGAAATGAGCCAAGTTTTTACATTCCCTGCAAGTCTTATCAAGCAACATATGGTGTTGTTTTAAGAATGAATCAAAAAATCCACTTGCTAATTTTGACAAATAATCTACCTGTGTGTGTGAACTGCCCAGTGCTAACACTTATAAGAATACACACATGGATTGTGTAAAATTGGTACTCAGGAGTGATTATGACCCAAATGTTTGTTTTTCAAAATGGCTCAGTACCAAAATCCTAGAACTATTAAATGCTATTAAATGAAAAGGTGGAAAAATGAAGAACTTGGTATCATAGGCAAGAGAGTGCATGTTGTACATTCTGTATTAAAACAGTAATTTCTACCTAAGCTATCTAATCAGTATTTAAGCAGAAATGCACCATTAATTTTGTACAGTAGAAGGAACATCAGCCATTCATTAGCTGTATCTGTATATAAACATCAACTTCATTCTCTAAGGGCCTCTGCTTATGTAGGCAAAACAGAACTATGCTTATATAGGCAAATCAGTGTAGAATAGGAAGCATCAACTTGGTGTGGCAGAATTCCAGTGTTTGCAAAAACACACAAACATTAAATAGGAGAAAAAGACCTCTCCCCATTTTGCAGCCCAAGGTACAATGGGCACAAAACAGTGAAAAGGAGGCTTCGGCTGACCCCATCCCCCAAGCTTTGTCCAAGGAAGGCTTTTCAAGTTAAGGGAATTTGAACAACATTAATCATCACTAGGCAACCTGCTCTTATGAATTCTTTTCAATTGTTGTATTCAAGATGAAAGCTGCATTTCAAAGCTGTATTTGATTAGATGGAGGCCTGTCTAGTTCAGTTTACAGTGAATTAATCATGTCATGGTGTAATGCTGGGGGTGCCACCTGACCAAGCTTTCCTAAACGTGGGCACAGGAACCAGTATTAAGACCATAAACCAAAGAAACTGAATTGTCGCAGTTGGTTTGTGCAAATAGGATCTTGCAAAAATAATTGCGACATTTCCTGTAGATGCCATGAAAACGCTGTTCCTGAACTCACAAGGAAGGCAGGTAAAAGCAAAGAGAGGCTCAACTTCACACATCCCAAGAACAGACAGTTCCTTCTATCAAAACCAAAGCCACCTTCTATCATTTCCACAGCGTAATTCAAAAACTGACATGCGAATATTGTATTGCTCCTCCCATGGCTGTACTAACCATGCCTGAAAAAAAATCTATAAAGGGTATCTTTAACTAGTTTTCTCCCATTGCAATAACCTGTATGGAAAGGCCTTGGGACAGAATGTGCAACCTTTGAGATGTGAGCCACAACCCAAGGCCCTCATCTGATCAAACTCGTCACTTAGTTGACTTTTTGTTTGCTTGCTTGTAGTTTTTTTAAGCATAGAATGGAAATGGGACCTCGGGGATATCATGTTTTCATTTCTTTCCTAAACCACCTCCCCCAAAAGACCCAAATGGCTTGTAACATGGTGACAAAATTCAGACTAAAAATTCAGTAGCAAAAAAATTCAGACTTGTTTTTTTTTTTTAAGTTTCAATAAAGAAATCAATTGTTTCACTGAAAATTGGCTATTCTACTCTTGGACATTTATAAACTGTTTTGGAGAGAAGGAAGACAACATGCAGGCCATAAGTTACTTGTCTCTACTTGAAGTTCTATAGTACTTAGAAGTGATTTTGAGCCCTCCAAATTACAGGATTGGATATCATCATCCGAATTTCAATGCTGTTTTAAAAGTCAAGCCGTAAGAACCTTGAAAGAGGTCTCAGCAGCAGGTGGAACTCCTGTGTACTTCATGCTTGCTCTTTGTTTCCTCAGAAAAGGGTAGCTAAATCATGTAATCTAAATCAGACCATACTGTGTTTTGTACTAATTTGATAATCATTCTGTTGTAGCAGGAACCTCTCATCTGAATCCAGAATGCCACTGCATATCCTACTATGGTGGCCAGTTAGACTGTAAGAAAGCAAAAGAAGAAAGGAATTACAGGGAAAACAGACATTTCCATTAAGGGCCCTATGCCTTCATTAATAATTTTTTCCATTTAATTAACCATATTCACCTGCAGCCCTTCGGGTGTGCAAGGCTACAGCCCAATGCTCTATTTGATAAGCAGACATCAGATTGCGCCTTCATAGGGAAGCGGTAACAGAGGAATGAGACACTGTCTCTTTAAGCAGGGGGAAAATGATCAAATATTTATATCCCTTGGAACAGGAACCTGCTTGTGCTTTCAAAGCAGGGAAATAAAACATACCCTGTAGGATGAGATGGTTTTTCTGTGTCCCATTTAACAGCTGGACAAATAGATTATAAAGGTGCCCAGTAAGTAAGATGTAGCATATGACAGATGGTTATGACAATCACACCCAATTCTGTCCCTACATCTTGCCAACATTTTTCCATGCTAGCCGAGCTGCTGTCTCTGCTAGCAGCAGCCCATTTCATTCAATGTTTAAATAGTGAAGCTTTTCCTGGCATGCCCATGAATGCATGAAGCTTTCATCTGAATTTCTATCCATCAGGCTAATATCAACAAAGCTAGAGCCAGTTTCAATTGCATGGATGTATTCCATATCTGAGATTTACAGCTATTCACTGCATGTGTTGATGGGCAACACACTGTCTTAGGATGTAATAAAGAAGCACTGATTCAGCTCAGTCTCACAGCTTCTGTTCTACAGCGATATTTCTCACTCCTGGCCATTTATACACGTGTAGAAATTCTTCAGGCAACAGACCCATTTCTGAAAATCCTGGTTTACAGGATTTTCTCATTCTGGACCTCCCTATCTCCAAGCATTCATGTGGCACATACTCTATGACAGCTTAGCAAAACAAGAAGCAAAGATACCAGTTTAAATGTGTGTTCATGTACACACCCCATATACAACAACAAAGGATACCAAGACAATCAATTTAACATCTAATTACAGAGAATCGTTTGTTTAATAAACAGCTTAATGCCTTCCAATTCTTTCCCTTCATTCTATAAAATATTTAAATCTATATATAGGAAGACCCACCTCCTATAGACAAGACAAATATGAGGTAGGAAAAAGGGTTAAGATATCGAAGATTTTCTTTCCATTTTGAACAAGGTAATGTCTTACAGATTTTTTAGTTTAGGGATGTTAAACTGGCGGCCCGCAGGCCAGATGCGTCATGCGGAGGCCACGCCCACCCCAGCTCTGCGAAGGGGAAAAAGTCACAAAATGTCTCGTGACAGCAACATGATGCAGCGAATTTGACACCCGTGCTTTAGTTGAATCCATCCATCTAACCAACCTATTCTTAATATTCTTGCTTTTTTAGTTCCAACTATCACTCTCTAAAATAGGTTAGAACTGTGCAGCAAAATATCAGATGACTATTCATTTAAATGAAAAAAAAAAAAACAAGCAAGAAAGCAATTTGTTAAAAATAGCAGCTTGCATTTCATAAAGTACTCTTTAGCCAAAAACAGGAACCCGAAACATATATCTAGTCAATCCAACTTTCCTTCCAAAGCAAAAAGTTACTCTACAATCAAAACCATCTATTTAAAAGAGCAATAAAATTCAGTCTATGTAAGAAAACAAAATCAGATGCCACACTGCATTTATAGGCAACTAATTAAGTCTAACTGGAATGTAGTAAAGATGTCAGTGCTAGCTAGCAGAACTAGGCCAGCCACAAACTCTGATGTCCTTCACTACCTCAGTGATCTGGGAGTTGGCCTTTATGAGAGCACCACAACTTCTGCCACAAGAAGGAAAATAATAAGTGTCATAACATTCTTAATAGACAACAACTGAAATGACTAAGCAAGGGAGAACAGGTGGAGAACCTGAGGCCACCAGGTGAGTATTGTAACCTATGATTAAAGCTGCAAAGAGCTCAAGAACAACAAGCTTGGTTTTCAGCCAGAATGCAAAGCAACAGATCAGGCTCTCAGAAGTTTTCTTGATGATGGCTAGTCTACGGTATCCATCATTAAGGGCATAAGGCACTAGAGTAATCATCACTCCTCACTATTTTTTCTTATTTTAGCATTACCCAATTATTACTCACAAATATAGGCTTGGGTCCTATTAGAAACCTAAATACTCTGTAGCGTAACAGAACAAAATTCCAGTGTATCTAAATCACCACTATGCAAAAAATAATACATATCAAATTATACAGATAGCAGGGTGAGCTTATTACAAGTATGAGAAACAAACAGTGCAGGGTAGATCCACAGTCTAAAAATTCTTTAAAATGCTTTGGCGGGGGATGAGATATGAAGATACTGTGCCTTGGCTGAGATACGGCAGGACCTTTTTCTCAAAATATTTATTAAACAGTAACAAAGCTAGGATAAAAAAAGGGGTTATCCCAATTGTTTTGTAAAGAAAAAGTGAGGGTTTTTAAAAATTATATTACTATTGATGTAATGGGAGAAAAAGCTGCCTGATATGACTTATCTAGGCAAAAAAATGCTAGTTTAACTGAATCATCATATGGATGCATGTCTGTACATGTATAAAGTAAGGAAGCAGAATTATGTCACAAAAAAACAAAAAATGTCTTCAAGGATTTTTGGAATTGGAAGGTCTTTCACCTACAGCGTGTTAGGAAGGCTCTAGCAGCATGAAAAATTCACATTGGTCCCCAGAGAATAAAGTGCTTTTCACATCCACCCATCCAAATTCTCAGTCAATAGATATGATTTCTTCTCTCAAAATAACTCTGCGCTGGGTTGTTTAGAAGCAGGAGGGGTAGAAGATCATGACTAGATTCCTTTCACAGAGCTTACAGAAAGCGTGGTTGGCCAATCTACTGTGGGTAGGAAAGAATGGTATCTTCTTTTGAGATCCATTTGAAAACAATTATTAACAGGATCAAAATAAATAACACTTCCTGCAGAGTGCTCCCTTAAATACCAGGCCATACTTCACGATATGAGTTGTGGCAAGTTCCACCAGTTCATCCTGTAGTCTTTAACCGTTGTTGCCATCCACTCATATGTGAATTCTGCTTCTCTCACCCTTCCAGAACCCACCACTTCTAAGTACAACAAGGATTATCAATGACCAGCATGATGTCAATGCCATAAACTTCCAGGAGGTCCATGAGAAAGCTACGGTCGCCTTGAGGATCCAAGCCCATTCCACGGGCATGGTCAGCGGTCAATGTCTTGTCCTGGCTGGCTGATATCTCCATCAATGTCTGAAATATCCGGTTGTTCTGCTCCATGAAGAACCTTAGAGACAAGGTGAAATGGAGATATATGAAGATGTGTAAAGCCTAAAGACATTCTGCTCTCCAAGCCCATGACTGAGTATGACTCAACTTCTGTTACCCCATAATTTGGAAAAATTCAATTGGCCAATAGTTAAATTAGCAATCACTTAAAACTGACAGGCCACCTGTCCTGTATAGGAAATAGCCTCTTGAGAGTGCTCAACAGGTTTCTACAAAGTACCTTTACTGAAATCCTATACCCCATTGCAAGGGGCTTCTTCAAAATTCTCAAACACTGGACACTATCTGAATTCATTAATTATTGTTTAGGTAGATCTCTTTCTTTCCTTCTCTATAGGATTTTTGATGATATCCTTCATTTATTTTTGCATATACAGCCTCCATTAGGGTTACCTACTGGCCATGGCCAGCATAATATACACTCAGACATGTTCTTTTGTTCTTCTCTTTTTGTGCCACTTCGTCCTTTAAAATGATTCTTCAGCACATTGCAAAGCAAAGCACTAGCTCTTAGCATCATATGAATTTGAAGAAATGAGACCTAAATAGGTTGCAATTACTGGAGAGAGTATCCTAAGAATTTAATGCACCGAATAAGTGCTACTCAATATGGCAGCCGTTTTGTGAATGGACCCACCGCAAAGTCTCAGAATTCAAAACTACTTTTAATCGAGTGCTGCCATTTGCCATTCAGATTAATATTATCATGTCACTCCAGGTTAGTGAACTACAATGTCAACCTAACTTTTAACCACGTAGCCTTTGACTAGCTAACAAACACTCTCAAGAGTTTTTTTCTTGCCAACTTTCTTGATATTTATTTCCTTGCAGATGCTGAAAGTATAACATTTCAAAGTCAGGGTGTATTTTACTGCTTAGGTTTAGTTTCAATTTACATTGCCTCACCAATAGCATAAAATGTAACCATTGCTACAACCTGATTACAGAATTTGGAATATAACTTTTGAGGACTCCGACTTTAAGCTGACCATCAGAGTAATAGATCTGACTCTGACGTCTCACTCTGAGCATGCTACCATGCTTCTGTGAATATATGGCCCCATGAAATAGGGATTCCCTAATGACTACTGAGACTTGCCAAAAGTCCATGAAAAAACTACATTTTTCAGCAGTAGCTGCCACAGATTGGGTAGGTATGTATGGAAGAACCTCAACCTAACCCCATCATTACTGAAGGATGAGAAACGGAAATCAAAGGAAATAAGCTCCCAAAAATAATAAGAATAGCTTGGAAATATCTCAAACAAATGTAGCTCATCACTAATTTCAAGTAGTGCTCTGAAGAATCCCAACTGAAAAACTTACAAGATGAAGAGGTCCTCTTCACAAGAACTACAGTCACCATCTACTTCCTGGGAGTACATCAGCATCTGTCTGAATGAGGGAAACATGCATACTCATCACATTGACAGATCCACAATTGGTATCCCTATAGCAATGCAAATAAAATATCCACAACCTGAGCCAATGCTTCCTGGATATGCTGCCCATGGCATCATTACAACACCAAAGTGAATAAGTGCAGTGGTGGGATTCAAAAGTTCTCACCACCAGTTCTGTGGGCGTGGCTTGGTGGGTGTGGCTGCAGGGGGTTGGCGTGACTCCCGCAATTCGCACGCACACCAAATGCGTGCTTTGCGCATGCATTAAAACGGTAAAAACTAAGCTACTGCGCCTCTGAAGTGTTTAGAACAGCAATCCACTCTGCCGCGCCAAACAGCTGAGAAGTTAAAAAGGATGTAGGACAGGCTTGTCCAACTCGTGGCCCACGGGCCGCATGCAACCCAGGTCGCCTCGTAATGCGGCCCAGTGCCCACCCCAACCATCGTGCCACAGCCAGCGAAAAGGAGGAGGAGAGGCAGGCGCGAGGCGAGGCGAGCGCCAGGCCAAGCAGCAAGAGAAAAGGCAGGCGCCGTCAGAGCGCCACCTCCTGCTGTTGCCGCCGGCGGCACCGCCACCGCTTCTGCCCCTGCCACCGCTGCTGCTTCTGCCCCCGCTGCTGCCCCCGCTGCTGCCGCTTGTGCCCCGCCGCCACCCCTGCCGCTTCTGCCCTGCCACTGCTGCTGCTTCTGCCCCCACCGCTGCTGCTGCCCCCACCGCCGCTTCTTCTCCCGCCGCTTCTGCCCCTGCCACCACCGCTTCTTCTCCCGCCGCCACCCCCACCGCTTCTGCCCCCGCCGCTGCCGCTTCTGCCCCTGCC